AAGTATGCGATGAGCAGAAAGCATTGTGCTGTGCCATAACTATGAGCTTTTTTTTTTTTTTTTTTTTTTTTGGCTGCACCACGCAGCATGTGGAATCTTAGTTCCCCAACCAGAGATGGAACTCATGCCCCCTGCATTCGAAATGCAGAGTCTTAACCACTGGACCGCCAGGGGAGTCCCCAGAACTATGAGCCCTTAAGGCCACTGGGTCACATCAAAAGGACTTAGGGACCAACTCAAAGAGGTTTCCACTGGCCAAAGATGAAACAATGTGGGCATAAGAGAAGAATAAGATATGCAGTGGATAGAAACACATCAGATTTTACATCCATGAGTTCATAGTGACACAAAAGGGCAAAAAAAACTCTCTGGTGATCTTTTGTGGATACTGAGGAAGTAACAAATTATTGTGAAAACTGCTAAAGAAAAGTCAAGAATCAGGCATTTACCCTGTCTTTCCTGCACAGCCTTTACTTCTGGGTAACCAATTACTTGATAGGGGAAAGATGTTTTTTTAATCATACTCCATTTTAAAAATTGCTTTAAATTGTGGTAAATTACATGTGACATTAAATTACCATTTTAACAATTTTTAAGTGCACAGTTAAGTGGCATTAAATACATTCACATTGGGGCTTCCCTGGTGGCACAGTGGTTAAGAATCCGCCTGCCAGTGCAGAGGACACGGGTTCGATCCCTGGTCCCGGCAGATCCCACATGTGCCACCGTTACTGAGCCTGTGCTCTAGAGCCTGTGAGCCACAACTACTGAGCCCGCGCGCCTAGAGCCCGTGCTCTGCAACAAAAGCCACCGCAATGAGAAGCCCGCGCACCGCAACAAAGAGTAGCCCCCGCTCGCTGCAACTAAAGAAAGCCCACGCACAGCAGCGAAGACCCAACACAGCCAAAAATAAATTAATTAAAAAAAAATACATTCACACTGTTGTGCAACCATCCCCACCATCATCTCCAGAACTTTCTCCTCTTCCCAAACTGAAACTCTGTCCCCATTAAACACTGACTGTCCATCCCCCTCCCCCAGCCCCTGGCCCCCACCATCGACTTCCTGTCTCTGTGGATTTGACTCCTCTAGGACCTCATGTGAGTGGGATCAGACAGTACGTCTCCTTCTGTGTCTGGCTTATTTCACTGAGCATAAGGTCCCAAAGTTCATGCATCTTGTAGTGTGTGTCAGAATTTCCTTCCACTTTAAGGCTGAATCATATTCCGCTGTATGGGTGAACCATATTTGTTTATCCATCCATCTCTCAATGGACACGGGTTGCTTCCGCCTCTTGGCCATTGCGAATAATGCTGCTGTGAACACGGGTGTACAAATACCTCTTTGAGACCCTGCTTTCAGTTCTTTTGCTTGAGCTGGGTTTTTTAACAGAAAAATTCCAGGCAATAAATGCAGAAGCAATGAAAGTGTTCAAAGTCACCATTTTTGCAACCCCTAATGATGTATGTAAGCAATGATCACCAGTGGCCACTAAGACCATTATGAGAGAGGTTCACGGGGAAATTTCACAGTAAATGAACCAGACTTGTGCCACCTGAACCCACTGGTCATTTTTAACGAGGTAGGGGAGGGAACCAACTGGGTGTTAATGTTGTTACATGTCTCACGGAGAGAGAGACAAAGACACGGAGACACAGAGATACAGAGAGAAAACGAACTAGATGTGTTGTCTGGTGGAGCTCACACCACCTAGGAAGTCCACTCATGTTTCTAGGTAGATCGATTCACAGGGATTACAGGGGACAGAGGAAACCATTAATCCACACCAGGGAAACAACCCACCCAATCAGGAGGCTGGTAAACTCTACCAGATAAACGACCTGGTTTCTTCAACAAATAAATGGCAAAGAAAGAAGGTTGGGTGATGGTTATAGGTGAAAAGAGACTAAGAGATACAGCAACCAAATGCCACGTGTGGGCTTTGTTTGGGTCCTGACTCAAAGGAACTACCTGCGGAAAAAACACGTATGACGTTTCATCATCAGCAATGAGACATTTTGCCATCATGGGCCCACCCGGCTGATGTACTAAGAGGGACCCTGCGGCATTCTCGCCCAAAATGCATGCCGTTAATCACATCATGAGCAAACGTCAGACAAGCCCAAATTGCGGGACGTTCTATAAAATAACCGGGCAGAACTCTTTTTTTTTTTTAATTTTATAAATTGCTTTCTTTCTTTCTTTCTTTCTTTTCTTTCTTTCTTTCCTTTCTTTCTTTCTTTCTGGCTGCGTTGGGTCTTCGTTGCTGCGTGCAGGCTTTCTCTAGCTGTGGCAAGCAGGGGCTACTCTTCGTTGCGGTGCGCGGGCTTCTCATTGCGGTGGCTTCTCTTGTTGCGGAGCACGGGCTCTAGGCGCACAGGCTTCAGTAGTTGTGGCTTGTGGGCTCAGTAGTTGTGGCTCACGGGCTTCAGTAATTGTGGCTCGCGGGCTCAGTAGTTGTGGCTCGCGGGCTCTAGAGCGCAGGCTCAGTAGTTGTGGTGCACGGGCTTAGTTGCTCCGCAGCGTGGGGATCTTCCCGGACCAGAGCTCGAACCTGTGTCCCCTGAATTGGCAGGCGGATTCTTAACCACTGTGCCACCAGGGAAGTCCCCTGGGCAGAACTCCTTAAACAGGTCATGACAGACAAAGGCTGAGGAGCCGTCACCAAGGAGACAAAGACAGGAGGTGCAATGTGGAATCCTGGCCCAGAAAAATGGCAGGAGAGGGAAAACTGGTCAAATTCTAACAAGTCTAGAGGTTAGGTAATAGGATGGTGGTTGATGTTAATTCCCCGGCTTTGATAACCTGGCTTGTAGCATGGTTATCTAAGAGGTTCACATCAGAGGAACGTGGGTGGACGATGTTCAGGAACTCTGCACTATTGCTGCAACTTTTCTGTAAATCTAATATTATTATAAAATGAAAAGCTTTAGGGAATTCCCTGGCGGTCCAGCGGTTAGGACTCTACTCTCTCACTGCCGAGGGTCCGGGTTCAACCTCTGGTGGAGGAACTAAGATCCCAAAAGCTGCAAGCCGTGCAGCGCAGCAGGGTGGCGGCGGGGAGCTTTAGAAAAGACATTTACAGGACACAGGGGGAAATCTGGATACTGACTGGATATTAAATATCCAAGGGTCATTGCTAACTTTTTTTAGATGTGATAATGTTGCATTATGCGTATCCTTTTTAGAAGGGAGTCTTTGTATATTACAAGGATGTGGATGAAATGGTATGATACCAGGGATAATGAAAGTAACCAGGGACTTCCCTGGTTGCACAGTGCTTACGAATCCACCTTCCAATGCAGGGAGCATGGGTTTGAGCCCTGGTCCGGGAAGATCCCGCGTGCCGCGGAGCAAGTAAGCCCGTGCGCCACAGCTACTGAGCCTACGCTCTAGAGCCCGCGAACCACAACTACTGAGCTCACGTGTCGCAACTACTGAGCCCACGCGCCTAGAGCTCGTGCTCCACAACAAGAGAAGCCACCGCGATAAGAAGACCATGTGCCGCAACTAGAGAAAGCCCACGTGCAGCAACGAAGACCCAATGCAGCCGTAAATAAATACATAAATACATAAACAAATACATAAATAAGAATTGGGTGCCTAACTCAGGGGACCAAGGTCATGTTGACGGCATGTACTCTTGATATAATGGGACAAACCCTTATTCACCTCTGTGCTCCTCTGACCTAAAATCTAAACCTCAGTCTAATCATGAGAAAAACATCAAACGAAACTCAACCAAAGGACGTTTGACAAAATACCTTTTATGAGAGGTATCTGGGAACGTGACCTTCTTTGGAAATAGGATCATTGCAGATAGAATCAAGTTAGGATGAGGTCATTTGGGCGGGCCTAATTCAGTGTAACTGGTGTCTCTGTGAAAAGAAAATTTGGACACAGACACACACAAGAGGAGATGGCTATGTGAAGACATAAGCAGAGACAGGAGGGACGCAGCCACAAGCCAGGGATACACAAAGCCACCAGAAGCTAGAAAAGGCAGGAAGGACTTTCCCCTAGAGCCTCTGGAGGGAGCACGGCCCTGCTGACACTTTAGTCTCAGACTTCGCCTCCAGAACTGTGAGACAATACATTTGCGTGGTTTTAAGCCCCTCTGTCTGTGGTGCTTCGTTACAGCAGCCCTGGGAAAGTAAAAGCTGTCCAGCGCTCCTCAAAACTGTTAAGGTCATCAAAAATGAGGAAAGTCTGAGAAACCATCACAGCCCAGAAGAGCCTAAGGAGACGTGATGATGAAATGTCGTGTGGGAACCTGGGTGGGGTCCCAGGACAGAAAAAGGGACATCATTAGGGGAAAAAAGGAAATTTGTTGGACTTCAGTTAATGATGGATCAATATTGGTTCATTAATGGAAAAAAAAAAAAGTACCATATTAATATATTAATAATACGGGAAATCAGGTGTGGTTTCATAAGGCAACCCTCTGTATTCGCAAGTTTTCTATAAACCTAAGACTATTCTAAAAATTAAAGTTTATTTTTTAAAAAGTAAAACAAAACAAAAAACCTCTTGAATGGATAATAGAATCTTGGCTTGGCCACCACCCAGGTGTTTAGCCTTAGTCAAATTATTCAGTTTCTCTGTGCCTCAGTTTCCCCATCTGTAAAATGGGGGTGATGAGGTTGGTGCTACATGGGCCTGCCCTGAGGATGGTGGGAGACCAGGATCTGGAGTAAGTGGAATCATCATCATCTCCATCAGGGATAGGTGGTGGCTGCTGCCGGAATTTTGGGTGAGTAGCAACAGAAGGTCAGCTCAAATGTCCCCGGGGCCAGGGAGAGAGGTTGAACTCCACTTGCTGGCTCAAAGTGCACGCAGTCCCACACAGCTTTGTGTACCATGCCCTACACAAGTGGGTACACAACAAGTAGAACTTTTTCCTTCCTTGCTACCCTGCCCGGGACAGACGACCTGAGATGGGACCGCGCGGGGCAGGGGGTTGGTTGTTAAACAGGACGCCCCTAAGAAATCAAAGGTCTCCAGAATGTCATTTCTTTAATGTCCACCCTTCAAGGGGCCCCGCAGAAGGTGAGGTAATAAATACAGAAGGTTGTAAGATGCAGCACGCCCGGCCCCCAGCCTGGTAAGGAACGGGGGCGGGGGATGCCTGTAGACTTCGGTTTCCTTCATCTGAAAACTGGGGCAGGACACACTTCGAACCAGGAGGCTCTGATACGGCGGCGTTTTCTGGGCGTCTTTCTCCGTAAGAAAACGCAAGTCCCTGAGCTACGCAGACCTCAGGCTGGGATGCGGCTCCTTTTCGCTAGGGGGCGCCAGAGTCCGCGTCCCTCGGCATGAAGGACCACTCCCCTGTCCCGGGGCTGGTGCATCACCCCCAAAAGGGTCCCAGACCCCTGCCCAAGGGTGAACATACCTGGAGGTGGGGGTCCTGAGAGAACCCCATCCACCCAAGTCCTGGATCCCCTGCTCTCTTCACCTTTTCCTGCGCCCCGGCCTCCCAAAAGGCCATTGTGTTCCCTCTCCAAGGAGATACAGTGAGTCAAGGAAAGGAGGACACAGAGGCTGTCCTGCTGAGGGGCGGAGAAAGGAGGAGGCGCCGATCGGCCTTCCACCCCGGCTCACTCGTGGCCCTTCTGCCACCTGGGCCTGGGGCTGGAGTGACAAGGGGCACCTGGGTTCGCTGAGCGCTGGCCCACCCCGCACCCACCGCCCGCAGGTCCCGCCTGCCACGCGCGGGTCTGAGTCCGGAGCGTTGGGCCTAGGTCACAGCAGGTTGATCTCGTCCAGGTAGCGGGCCAGGACTGAGTCCCGCACGTCCTTGAAGACCTTGCGGATGTTCTGTGTGTCCGTAGCACACGTGTAGTGGCTGAAGAAGCGGCGGGAGTGCGAGCCCTTCCTGCTCCCGTCTGCGCCGTCCACGCAGCTGGTGTACATGCCGGTGTACATGTCCAGGATGAACTTCTTGGCTGCCTCCGTGTCCTGCTTCGGGCCTAGGGACAGGGGTGGGCGGTCAGGGCACACGGCTCATGGGGCAGATGGGAGCCTCTCCCTCCTGGGACCAAGGTGGGCTCTGGAAACCCTGTCCCCGATATGGTCAGCAACAGGGCTGCAGGGACCACCCACCAAGGTGCCTGCCTGCCACCGCCATCTTTTGCCTTTCTAGCTGGTCACATGACTCAGGCCAAGCCAATAGGAGCATCAGGTATGTGTTCATGCAGGTCACATGATCTGGAATGGACCAGTGACACTGGTCTCTGGGACTTTGGGCCGAACTGTGTTAAAAAGAGACCCTCTCTCTTGGCTGGGCTTGGAGCTGGGGGGATGGGAGCCTGGAACTGCAGAGAAAGACATCCTGGGGAGGTGCAAATGGGGAAACCGAGGCCGAGAGAGAGGGGGTAAGGATGGCCATCCTGATGAGGCACACATGCGATTCCCCCCACCACCATCTCGCATTCATATATATATATATATGAATATTAATATATATATTCATATATATATATATGAATGAATGACTGGTGTCCTTATAAGAAGACAAGAGACAACCAGAGACAAAGTCATGTGGTGACAGAGGCAGAGATTGGAGACATGCATCTACAAGTCAAGGAATGCCAAGGATTGCAGGTGACCACCAGAAGCTAGGAGAGAGGCCTGGAACAGATTCTCCCCTGGAGCCTCCAGAAGGAACCAACCCTGCTGACACCTTGATTTCAGACTTCTGGCCTACTGAACTGTGAGGGGAAAAATTTCTGCTGTTTTCAGCATCCAATATGAGGGCTTCTGTTAGTTTATCCCCATTCTACAGAGGGGGAAGCTGAGACTCAGAGATCTTGGGCAGAGGACAGAGATGGGTCTGGAACTCAGGCCTGTCCCACTGCATTTGAAACCCCACTGGCTCTAGGCTGGGGTAGGGCCTGGACCAGCATCTCTCTTGGGAGCTGCTTTTGGGAAGTGAAGGGATAGAAAGTTCTAGAACCACTCACCCTGGAAACTGGGGAAGTAGGTAGCCAGGTGGGAGGTGGGGATCTTTTCCTCCAGGATGTCGGTTTTGTTGAGGAAGAGGATGACGGAAGTGCTTTTGAACCAGGGCAGTTCCAGGATGGTGCCAAACAGGGCCAGGCTCTCCTTCATTCGGTTCTGGGTTGGGGGGCACAAGCAGGTCATTGATCCAGACGGCCAGCTCGGCCCAAACAGGAGCCCTCTCCCCACGTAGAGATGGGGCTGTCGGCCCCCCATCCAGCAGCTTGAGGCTCCCCAATTCCCCCCCAGCTGGGTCTGAGGGTGGTGTGGCCAGCTGCCTATGTATGCCTGAGATGGTTTTATGCCTGTACTCGTTTGGGTAGTGTCCCCCCCACCCCCAAAATTCATGTCCACCTGGAACTTCAGAATGAGACCTTATTTGGAAATAGGGTCTTTGAAGATGTAATTAGTTAAGAATCGGTCACACTGGAGTAGGGTGGGCCCTACGTCCAATGTCTGGTATCCTTATAAAAAGGGGAATTAGGACACAAGGAGATGGCCACGTGAAGATGGAGGTAAAATGGGGTGCTGTTTCTATAAGCCAAGGGACGCCAAAGATTGCCAGTGGCCACCAGAAGCTGGGAGAGCCTGGAACAGATTCTCCTTCACAGGGAACCAGCCCCACTGACACCCTGACCTCAGATTTCTGGCCTCCAGGACTACGAGACGATACACTTCTGTTGTTTCAGCTCTCCCCCACCCCCATGCCCACCGCCCCCCCAGTTTGTGGTACTCCATCACAGCAGCCCTAGCAAACTAGGACATCTCGTGTGGCTGGACTGGAGCAAGATCTGTGTCAGAACGACCTCAAATTGATTCTATCTGATTCAGTTTGAAAGTCGAAATTAGAACATCTGATCCTTGGATCCCAAAACTGTCTATGGGAAACTTTAACCCTGAAAAGTGCACATGTCAGAGATAATAATGTGCCTGACCTTCACGCCGGGGGTTAATTAGGAGAGGAGTTCACGAAAAGGAGAATTCTGAGTAAAAGCAGGACATTGTCCCCATGACCCACATTCCCCGGACAGCTTACATTGTGCTTCAGGGGTGTGGGGGTGTGTGCGTCTTGAGTCTCCAGTGTCCGACTCTGTGTGTGTGTGTGTGTGCGTGTGCACGCGCGTGTGCGCGCGCGTGTGTGAGCTCACGTGTGTGTGTGTGTGTGTGTGTGTCAGGGTCCTGGCCTCACAAATGCTTGTAGATCTGTGTGTTGGGGTTCAGTGGTCTGACCACAAAAGAGTGGACGGTGAAGCTCAAAGCCACGCCAGACACACAAAGCCCCACTCAAGAGTGCCTGCTCAGCTGTGGGTCCCCGGGCCAAGATGGGGGTAAGAAAAGCAGGGGAAATGGTGCTCCTGCATCCATCGTGGCCCCTCACCTCTTGGTTGTTTTCCTCCAGACACTGGTCGTATTCACTCAGCGAGGCCAGGTAGATGAGGGCGATCACATTCTCGAAGCAGTGGATCCACTTCTTGCGTTCTGACTTCTGGCCTCCGACGTCCACGATCCTTACCGGGAACAACTCCCTTTCAGAGTTCAGGCCTAATCGGGACCCCAGTGACGAGGCGTCCCAGGCCCCAGTCATGGCTGGGACATGCCATGAGCAATATTAATAGCAACAAGAATAGATGCCAGCCACCTTGTGTGTTACAGCATTTCACCCCATGGAGCAAGTATCGCTATTATGCCCATTTTATGGATGAGGAAACTGAGGTATAGGGAGAGAGGGCACTTTCTAGAACTTCTACTACACTGGGCTGCCTGATTTCTACCCCATGGTAGAAGACAGCTGCTAGCCCTCAGTCTGCCCTGGTTCTGGATGGGTGACAAGAGGAAAATTGCGGATCGTCTCCAGAGCTCAGTTTCCCATCAGCTGTGTTCTGGCTGACCGTGGGAGAGTCCAGTGGCCACACAGATGGGCAAACGCCATCCCCTCTGTGTGTGGCCCAGGGCAAGGGTTCGCCTCCACCCCCACACACACCACAGCAAAAGCCTGGGCCCTCCTGCCTTCCTGTTCTCTCTTCTAAGAAACGTGAGTTACTGATAACAAGCCCTGTGTCATTTCCCCAGGGATGGGACCATTACTCAGGCAGCTGGAAGGAAATGCCAGAAGCCCCAGAGCAAGAAGAGACTTGCCCTGCTGTACCAGAGGAAAATCCAGGCTGATGCCTGCGGCTCCTGATTCCTGAAACCAGCCTCTCTCATGATCCTCAGATTCCCTCAAACCCCGTATCCAGAGCGGGATGTGTGATGCAGCGGTTGAGACTGGGCCTCCAATGGCTGAGATAGGTGTGGGGTATGCTACTTGCCAGCCTCCCAGCTCGGAGTCTGAGTTTCCTCCGAGCCCTCACCTTTGGCCTAAGAACGGACTCAAGTTTCCCCATCTGATAATTCCCCTCCTCAGCCCAGCCTTACTTCTGAACTTCCCCAACCACTACTTTTTCTCCTAAACTTTTACCAACTCACCCATCCATCTATTCATCCATCCAACCAATCACCCACCCACCTATCTATTTGTCCATATGTCCACATACCCACCCATCCATCCACCCATCAATCCATCCATCTATCTATCCATCCATTCATACATTCATACATACATACATACCCCCACCCACCCTCCCACCCATATACCCGTCCATTGATCCATCTATCTGCCCACCTACCCATCCATGCATCCATGCATCCATCCACCCACCCATCCATCCATCCATCTTTCCAACCATCCACTCACATTTCCGAACTTCCACTCTGACCTTCAGCTGATCATCACCAGTGAAGCAGGAGAATCAAACTCAGCCCCTAACTTTGAGGGTCTCTCCATCTAGTGGAGGAGACCCAATGCAAACAGACAAATTGTGAACCTTCCTGCTAAGGACGATTGCAGAGACCAGAACAACATGGGGCCAGGGGAGGGGGTGTTCAGGGAAACAAGGGATCAACGTGGGTGGGTTGAACACTGAAGGGTCTCAAGCATCACCCTGCACCCTCCACAGGTCCTTGCCTAAGGTCACTGAACATTATCTCAAGGCCACTAAGGTCACTGAGGATTCTCTAAAGGCCACCCCCAGAAGTCGCTTCTCTCACTGTATTCTTCCTGACCTCTCCTTGGCCTCTGACACTGACCATGACTCCGCATGGACCATCCTTTGCTGCACTGGCCACCCACACCTCTGGCTTCCAGCTCAGGCCTGTGTGCACCCAGCCACCTCCCAGATGCCCCAGACCCCTCAGACCCAACCTGCCCCAAATGAGTTCATCATCTATTGTAACACCTCCCATCCCGCCACCACCACTCTGGCTCTACCAGCTACTCTGTCACCTTGATGGGAAACCCATAGGGAGTCACTTTTGACTCTCTGCTCTAAATCCCTTGCTCATCTAGTCCTGCCCATTCTACATCAGAAAGCATTCTTGCACCATCCCCTCATTTCCACCCCCAAGGCCACTTCCCGGGTACTTCCCAACGCTTTCTGCCTGAACCATGGCTCCTGCCTTCTCCTGGGTCTCCTGACCTCCAGCTTCACCCCTCATTTGGGGCTGGGGAAGCTCAGAGGGTGAGCTTCCCCAGCCCCAAATCAATCCCTCTGGTCTAGCCCTGACTGCACAGTCTCTGTCTCTTCCTTCCCATTACCTCCTAGCTCCAGTGAACTCCTATTCATTCTTCAATGCCCTAATACCAATGTCCCCTCCTCCAGGAAGACGTACCCTCCCAGAGCTCTGGGGGCTCACTTTGGGCTCCCCCAGGTCCCAGTCCTGATTCCATGGAGGGGCTGGAGGTGTCTGTGTCCAGCCTTGCCTCCTTCAGCCTGGCAGCCCCTTTGTGGGCTGGGACTAGGCAACTCCTACTCATCCCTCAGTGCCCCAGTTCCTTTGCCCCTCCAACAGGAGCCTTCCCCACCGACAGGCTATGCGCTCACCGCAGGTTGGTTTTCTGCACGGAGAAGCAGTACTCGTTGATGCCGGTGGTGGGCATGCGGCTGCGGAGCACGTCCTGCGAGGTAGGGATGTAGCCCGCCTCCATGATGCGGTCCAGATTTGACAGGTAGCTGTAGAGCCAGAAGCCCTGAGTCTTGGCCTTGAAACCTCCCTTTGCTTCTCAGGCCCACCACCCAGGGCCTGGGGAGGACCTTGCTGGGGGAAAGAGAACCCCCGGGGGGCGGCCAGGATCTCTGGGGTCCCAGGTGGCTCAGGAGCACAGCCCAAGGCCATGGGAGCATGGGGAGAAGCAGCTTCACCCCCAGCAGCATGACCCCAAGAACAGCCCCACTGGCGCGGGCGTCATCCTGGGAAAACTGTCACCCCAGGTGTGTCACTGCCCCAAGAACAGTGATAGCTTGGAGCACTAGACACCCAGCGTCATACCCAGGACAGCTTCACTGCGTGATGATTAACAGTGTCACCCCAGAAATGGTGTCGCCCCAGGGCAGCATCATCCTAGAACAGTCACCCCAGAGGCACCATCACCCCAGAAATAGTGTCACCCCAGGAATGATGTCACCCCAGGAACACTGCACCCCAGGAGCTGTGTCACCTGGGGAGCAGCGGCACCCCAGGGACGGCCTCACCCCGGGCCAAGGCCACCCACAGCATTCCCAGCAGTGGGAGCTGGCCAGCCTGAGGCCCCTCTGCCGGCTCCAATCCCTGGGACTGGGTCTCCTCTGGCTCCATCTCAGCACCGACTCGCGCTCGGCACCCTGACCCCGCGGACCCCAGACTCACTACACCGCCGAGTCGAGCAGGTGGAAATCACGCCGGCGCTCGTAGCAGGCGCGGATGCCGGAGTCCCTCCACAACCACTGCATGGCCACGGCGTGGTGCTTCTCGAAGGTGGTCACCTTGTAGGGGTCCTGGCTCATGATCAGGTTGGCCCGGTGCTGGGGAGGGACGGACGGACAGGGGCAGGTCAGAGCAGCTGGGCGGGGCGGGTTGCCCTCCTGACGTCTCCACCCCCTTTCGTCCTGGCGTCCATCCACCGAGGGTGGGCACAGGCAGAGCGCACAGCAGCGCGAGGGGCCAGCAGGGGCTTGCTTGCGTGCAGGGAGCGCCAGTTCTGGATGACCCTGCCTGGGGCAGTAACCTCTGCTCTATCTGTCCTCCTTTCTTTGCACCGGAAGCAGGCACTCCTGTTCATGTCTGAAGATAGGGTCTTTACAGAGGTAATGAAGTCACAATGAGGTCATGAGGGTGGCTCTAATCCAATGTGACTGGTGTCCTTGTAAGAAGAGGAGATTGGGACACAGACACACACGGAAGGATGACCACGTGAGGACACAGGGAGAAGGCAGCCGTCTGCGAGCCAAGGAGAGAGGCCTCAAAAAGAACCAGCCCTGAGGTCTTGGGGGTTGGAACCCTCATGCACTGTTGCGGGGATGCAATCTGGTACCGCCATTGTGGAAAACAGTATGGAGGTTCCCACCAAAATTAAAAATAGAGCTACTGGGAATTCCCTGGCGGTCCAGTGGTTAGGACTCCATGCTTTCACTGCTGAGGGTCCGGGTTCCATCTCTGGTCGGGGAACTAAGATCTCACAAGCCATGTGACATGGCAAATAAATAAATAATTTTTAAACATAGAGCTACTCTATGATTCAGCAATTCCACTCCTGGGTATTTATCCAAAAGAATTGAAACTGGGATCTTGAAAACATATCTGTACACCCAGGTTTACTGCAGTGTTGTTTACAGCAGCCAAGATGTGGAGAGAACCTAAATGTCCATCGATGGTTGAATGGATAAAGATAGATATATCTCGAATACTATTCAGCCTTTAAAAAGAAGGAAATTCTGCAACAGGGGACAATGTAGATGAACCTTGAAGACACCACATTAAGTGAAATAACACAGTCACGGAAGGACAGATCCCACACGATCCCACTTATATGAGGCATCTGGAAGAGGCAAGTTCATGGACACAGAGAGTAGAATGGGCTAGAGGAAGGGAGTTGGGGTTGCTATGAATAAAGTTTCCCTTAGGCAAGGGGAATACATTCTAGAGCCCTCCCTGATGACACTGTGTCTGCAGTTACTGATACTGCATCGTGCGCTTAAAATTTGCTAAGAGAATAGATTTCATGTTGAGTGTTCTTCCACAATAAAATAAAAATTTTAAAGAGAAGGGTGATGTGACACACAGTCTGCATAGCACCCCTCCCCCCAGCAGGGTAGGGCAGGGCTCAGGAACCAGTCCACAGTACTAATATTTCTAGAACAAAACGCCTGCTGACTCAGGACTCCTACCAGGCATCATGGGGTCCAAGGGACAGATGGTTGAGCCCTGGGGGTCCACGGGGAACCTGTGAGGTCGGTGGGGGGACCTGCTGGTGCTGAGCTGCCTGGAATGCAGACCAGGATCCCAGGAAACCTTGGAGGAGGTGGCTCTTAGCAAGGACTTAGGGGATCTGAAGGGACACAGTCCCACCCTGAAGTCCTAAGGAAACCCCTCCCAGCGTGGCGCCCACGTGGTGAGACCCGGGATGCTCACCTTGCTCTCGGGCCAGCTGAAGGGGATCTGCAGTCGTTCCATAGCCTCAATCATGGTCTGCATGGACACGAAGATGTTCTGGTAGACCAGGGTCCGGAAGCTCTTGCGTTCCTCCTCCGAGTAGCCCGCCCCATGGATGATGCGCATCTGCTTGATGAATGTGCTCTTCCCGCTCTCGCCAGGGCCTGGGGAGACGACTCTGCGGTCAGCTCAGCCCTCCGGGGCTCCCGCCACCCGCCACCTCCCGCCACTCGCCACTCGGATTCAAATTCCCGCTCTGTGATCCTGGGCAAGCAGCTTCATGGCTCTGTGTCTCGGTTTCCCCACCTGTGAAACGTGGTTTGCTGGGTGGATGTGAGGGGTAAGCTAGTTCATTAAAAGTTTGTCCCAGGAAGGGCAGCAAACCACGGCCTGCCGGCCGCTGTTTTTATTTTTATTTGGGGGGTTTTGCTTTGTTTTGTGTTTTTGTTTTTGCTTTTTTGCCACACCACGCGGCTTGTGGGATCTAAGTTCCCCGACCAGGGATGGAACCGGGGTCCCCTGCAGTGAAAGCGCTGAGTCCTACCACTGGACCACCAAGGAATTCCTGACAGCTGCCTGTTTTTGCATGGCCAGCAAATTTTTACAGTTTGCATGGTTTTTATATTTCTAATTCTTTTCACTCTTACAGTTTTTACATTTTTGTAATGGTTACAGTTTTTGCATTTTTTAATGGCTGAAAGGAATCCAAAGATTCCTTTTTGGTGACACCTGAAAATGACATGAAATTCAGGTTTCAGGGTCGGTCAATAAAGTTTTATTGGCACATGGCCGTGCCTGGTTGTATACAAATTATCTAGGGTTGGTTTCTCGGAACAGCTGCAGTGTTGAGTAGTCAGAGACCCTCTGGCTTGCAAAGCTGAAAAGATTTACCGTCTGGCCCTTTACAGAAAAAGTCTGTGGACCCCTGGCCTAGAGTGTGCTTTGATATAGTAAGAGCTACATTCCTGTCCACTATTATTAGCAATAGTAGTCTTTACCATGATTATAATTACTATTATTATTACTCGCTATAATAATTTTAGGAAGAGAAAGTTTTGTGAAGGAAATACAATAAGATAAATAGATAAAGAGTGATTAAGTGACTACTACAGCTAAGTGTCACAGAAGGCTTCTCAGTGGAGGTGACATTGGCGTTGAGATCTGAAGGCTAGGAAGGTTGCTCTCGTGCCAAGATCTGGAGGAGGGAGCACCAGGCAGTGGACACAGCACGTGCAAAGGCCCTGGGGCAGGACCAGGCCTGGTGTGTTGGAGGGATAGCAAGGAGGCCTGTGTGCTTGGAGCTGAGTGAGCGAGGGGGAGAGAGGGAGGAGGTGAAATTATGATTGTGGAAGGGGTTCTAAGGAGAGGGGGGCTTTGAGTTAGGCTGGGTAATCTAGGAGGGCTTCACTGAGGAGGTGACATCTCATCTGAGACCTGGCAGATGACAGAATTCATTAGAAGAGAAGGGGGAATAGCATTCCCAACAGCAGGCACAGCACATGCAAAGGTCCTGGGGCAGAACCATGTCTGGCATGTTGGAGGAACAGCCAGGAGGCCTGTGTGTCTGGGGCAGAGTGATCGAGGGGGAGAGAGGGAGGAGGGGATGGCAGGGAGGGGACGGGGCAGGTCATGTAGGGCCTTATGGGCTGTGGGGAGGACTTGGGCTTTTACCCCGAGGGAGGTGGGAGCCTGGAGGGCTGTGGGTAGAGGAGGGGTGGGGCCTGACCCAGGGGCTCACAGGTGGCCCCTGACTACTGAGGGGAGGGCAGGTTGGGGAGGGGTGAACCCAGCCAAATGGGACTGTTCTGGTCCAGACTGGACCCAGGTGGCCATGTGGAGCTAGAGAGAAGAGGACATATGCACAAGATATTTGGGAGACAGAATACACACGACCTTGCTGATGGACCAGAGTGGGGAGAGGGGTCCTTGCAGGCTCACCTACAGAATCTCCAGGGCCAAGTGCTGGATGAAACCACAGGGCCCTTCTGAGTGCAGGGTCGCATGTCAAAAAGCCGGTCATGGGTCTGGGATAATAACACTAGAAACTTTGGAAGCTCAAACAGCAAGGCCTGGCTCCCTGCTGTCTGAGCCCTGATATCTCCCTTTCTGAGCCTCTGTTTTCTCATCTGTGAAATGGGCATGATAGCCAGGCCGGAGGTGCGGGGCCGGGAACCACCTCCAACACCTTGTCACCCTGCCAGCTCCTGGGGGACACTGGTGTGGGGTCCCTCCAGGGGTGGGGAAGGGGACTCGTACAGGAGGAACTGGGACCAGCAGCAAAAAGGGAAGGGGTGCCCTGGCTGGAGCCAGAAAGAGGAACCAGGAGCAGAGGAAACAGAGCAGGGAGGAGGCGGGGAGTGTAGGAAGCGGCAGAGGACTGGGTGGAACTCTGTTGTACCGCCCCTGGGGGGCTCTCGTACTCTCCCACTCCCAGCAATTCTGAAGGCAGTGAGGGCAGGACCCAGCGACACCGCTGCACTCGAGATCCAAGGAAAAGAGCCACTTTTCTATGGCCCTAAAGGACATTCATGGGGAAACTGGGAATGCCAGCGGGACGTGATGGTGACTGATGGGATTGCATCACGCGCATCGCCTGCTCACCATTGCCCTGGCGGGGCGGGGGG